ACATGAAAGAATGTTTGTCTCTGAGAAAAATAAGTATCTTTATTGTGTTTATCTCTAAATTTTTTTAGTCTTTTTTCCAAATAACATTGTGTCAACAATAGGTAACAAAGACAGGAAATTCATCACCAATGGGTCACATATTTACCTGTTCCTTTCTAGCTCTGTAAGACTGTAGGGGTGAATACTCTAGGATCATGCTTTGCAGGCCCTCTTGTTCTTTCCTTCATTTAAACACCACCTGTCTACTTGAGGCCGGGGAGGTGCAGCCCTGATACCCTGACCTTGGTGTCATTCTTCGACCAGCATGGACAGCAGGTCATGGTCCGTGTTTAAGTGGCTCTTTAAGTGCCCATTTATGGCCAGATAGCTGCCTTGGCTGGGATGGCCCTTCCAAACCAACCTCCTAGGCAGATCTGGCCACTCTCCTATTCTGTCTTGAACAAACTTTCTCATGTTTTCCCAACATGGATAGGGTGAGAATTTACACAAAGTTTTCAGTTTGCCTTCCCTTTACTTGACAACCCTGCTTTTAAGGCATTCCTCTCATCTCCTACTGTAGAGGAAGCACTCGAAAACTGCGCCTCCAACCCTTTGCTTATGGACTTACTGTTTTGTTTTTGTTTTTTGAGACAGGGTCTTGCTATGTCATTCAGGCTGGCCTTAAATTCACTGCATATTCCAGGCTGGCCCCAAATTCATGGTGATCCTCCTGCCTCAGGTCCCGAGTGCTGGCATTACGGGCTGTTTATAGATTTCTTAAGCCAAATGCCCAATTTCGTCATTCATAAATTCTACTCTCCACAGAACACCAGGACATAGCACAGTTCTTTGCCACTTTAAAACAAGGGAGGCTTGCTGGCTTGTTTTCTTTCTTTCTTTCTTCTTTCTTTCTCTCTCTCTCTTTCTTTCTTTCTTTCTTTCTTTCTTTCTTTCTTTCTTTCTTTCTTTCTTTCTTTCTTTCTTTTCAGTACCAGGGATTGAACTCAGGACCTTGTGCTTGAGAAGCAAGCACTTATTCCACTGAGCTATCTCCCCAGCCCCAAGGGTAGCTTTTTCTCCATTGTCCAATAACATGTCCCTTATTTTCATGTGAGACCTCATCATCTTTTCATCTGAGACTTTTATCATTTATATTTCTACCATTTTGATCATGACCAACTAGATATTTCCTAAGAAGAATGAGATTTTCTCTACAGCTCTTGTTTTATGAGCCCCAACCATACTAATTATATAAAATAATAAGATGTGGTAGAGTTTCTACTCCAAGACTGTCAAAAATTTTAAAAAGTGACAATATCAAGTACTTGGAAGGGTAGGAAAGGAATGGCCTCAACAACACTTGGTGGAAGCACACATTGGCTCAGCTTCTTGGGAAAGCAGTGACCAAAATATACAACTTTTTTACCCTACAATGACACTGTCTTGACATCTATCTTGGAGAGATACTCACATGTGTACACAAAGAGGAGATGTGCAGAAACACAAATGTGAAAAATCTGGAAATGACTTTATACATCAGTTAGGGAATCTTTAAATAATTGCACATCTATACTAACTACTATTACAAAACAATTAGTAAGAATGAGAAAATTCTGCATTTAATGACCTGGAAAAATTTCTAAGGGATAATATAAAGTGAAAAAGCAAGTAAAACAACATAGTCAGTGTGACACCATTCATATAAACAAAAAGAAAAAAGCTGAAAGGGCTACTAACCTCCTGTCTATACTTCTAAATGAATGTAAAAAATTAGAAAAATATGTGGAGGATATATAACAGAGAGCGGTAACCTCTGAAATAGAAGGTAGTGAGAGGCCCAAACAAATGATTGTCTTCTGGCTTTGTAAAAATTAGACATTTATATATCAGTTATGCCATGAAAAGCTTAATAATAAAAAGAGAATGTGGGGCATGATTCTACACTTATTTCTATACTACTCATTCTGTACTCACTTTAGTTCCCTTCTCTCAGTCGCCCTTGAAGTCATGCCAGTCAGGTTTTCACGGCCACAATGACACGGAAGCAGGTCCTGTCAGTACTACCAATGGCCTCCAAGTGCTGCTGCAACACGCCGCCACTTCTCACCTTGCTGACCCTAAGTACTGTTTGGCCCCATTATTATGTCCTTCTCCTTGAGACATTTTTTTGGCATCCAGGAGCGTCCACCAGATTTCCTTCCATACCAAATGTCCTTTTCATCAGTCTCCGTCTCATGTGCCCACGTCCACAATGGAGTGCTCTGGCCTCAAGGATTAAGAGGCTAGATTGTGTCACTCACTGCACAAGTCCTCCAGGGACTTCCCACTTTGCTACCAGTGCAAGAGCATTGGCGCTCATTGTCTCCTCAACCTCATGCCCCTGGACTCTCCTCCCTACTTACTCCCCAGTAGCAATATCAGCCTCCTCTTTGTTCTAGCAGGAGGCACTTGCTGTCCCCTTTGCCTGACACTCTTCCCTCACAGGTTGTCCTATTGTATACTCCCTCCTCCTTCTAGTTTTTGCTCAAATATCTCAGCTTCTTGGTGAAGGAGCCTCCGAGGC